CCCCTCCCAGAATGGGCTCCGGGCACCTGTCACCAATGGCTCTGACCTCAAGAAGAGGATGACATGACCCGGGGCCCAGTATGTAGCTTGCTCAAATTCCTGTCTGAGATGAAAGGTGAAGTCACATCCTAGCATCTCAGTAAAGCCCCCTGGGCCTTGAGGGGGGGTGTGGGTGCAGGGGGAATAAACCGAGGTGTCTTCTCTTCCGGTGTGGACTGGCCATCCTTCAGTTGGGTGGACCCAACTGGCACCCTGGCACTCCTGGGCTCCAAATGGGGCCTCAGCACATGAGAGAGAGTTTGAGGGACTATCCTATGTGGGGTGAGATCAGTGTCCTGGTGCAGGGACTCTCTAGGGGCAGGGGGGCTGGTAGCTGGGCTGTGTTCAGAGCTCCCCACGGTCTGTCCAGGAGGTGGACATTCACACGATGGACGCTGGATGGACCTGGAGACCAGGGAGGCTTCCTGAAGGAGGAAGCAGCCATGCCGAGAGTGGAGGGGCAGGGTAAGGCCCCACACTAAGATCTTCATACAGTTTCCCCAAACCAATGAGGCGGGGTGCCTCCCAAGTAACAGCTCGTCAGACAGAGCTCTGGGAGCCTGGGGTCTCCAGGCAGTGGGGTGGGGTATAGAGAAGGGAACAGGCTTCCAGGGATTTGGGGGGGTGACAGATGTCAGGAAAGCCAGACAGGAGCCCCCCAGTTCAAATCCCACCCCAAAGGGAGGCTCACCTTCCCCGAGTGTCCAGCAGGCCCACCCAGGTTCTAGCAGGACCCCCATCCCACCCCGTCACGGCAGAAACACAAGCTCATGTCCCGTGTTCAGACTCCCCTGGGAGGACAGTCTGCTGCTCGTTCCTTCCTGAGGAACCAGGACCCCTGCCTCGCAGTAAGCACACCTGCATACTGGCTGGGAAGTGTTCTCCACCCCACCCCAGCAGATCCATTCTCTGCTTGACATTCTCTCCTCAGACCCTGGCCCACCATGGACCTCTCTGCACTGGGCAGCCACCTGGGTTCCCCGGGGCTTCAACTTCACACACTCTGTGTCATCATCATCCTCAGTTGCTTAAACCCTCTGGCAGTGCCCCCAGCACTAAGGATACAAGCCCCCCAGGAGAACCCCTTGGCCTGCTACTCTCCCCTGGATCCCTCTGCTCTGGCCCCACCTGTCTCTGCTGATCCTTGGTGAGCCTGACGTGTTCCCACCCCAAGGCCTTTGCCTTGGATGCTCCCTCAGCCTGGCCTGCTCTTCCCTCCCCTGTAGAGCCAGCTACCTGCACCTCCAGGTCTCATCTGGAATGTCACCCACTCCAAGCCCCTCAACCTGTCATGTGACCCTTTATCACAGCGGTTCCCAACCTTCCTAATGCCGTGACCCTTTCAGACAGCTCCTCATGTGGTGGTGACCCCCCAGCCATCACATGATTTTCATTGCTATTTCTTAATTGTCATTTTGCTACTGTTATGAATTGGGCAACCCTTGTGAAAGGGTCGTTCGAGACCCCCAAAGGGGTCACAACCCACAGGTTGAGAACCGCTGCTTGATAGCCTTGATAGCCATATGACTGCCTGGAGATATCGGTCACCTGCCTGCCCTTGGCAACATTGGCATCTCTGTGGGCAGGGGCAGGTCTAGCCTTCTCCCTACTGTGCCCCTGGGAGGAGGACAGGCCAGGGCCACACCCACCCATCACTGTCAAGTCAGCTGCGGCTCCAGAGAAGAGCTGTGTGCTCCATGGGACTTTCAGTGGTCACTTTTTCTGGAATTTGATCGCCAGATCTTTCTTCCTAGTCTCTTGGTTCAGCAACCTGCTCAGCATCTTTGTAATGTGTTGGCCGCCATTGACAGACTGTAGCTGTGCACGAAGTACCTTAGCTAGGATTCAAACCTGGGTCTCTGTGTTGGTCTGGGTGAACTAGAGAAACAAATCCAGAGACACTCGTGTGTGTAAGAAAGAGCTTTATATCAAAGAGCAATTTATATTGAGAAAACTGCCCAGCCCAGCCAGCCCAGATCAAGTCCATAAGGCCAATATTAGCCCATCTGTCCGATTACAATCTATAAATTCATCTTCAGACTCACACAGCCATGCGATGATGCCTAATGCAGGATGATCTAGTGGGTGGCAAATCTTGTGGGTCCAGTGGCAGTGTAAGCATCTCAGCGCTGGCATGGGTTTCCACGTGGCTCCCCCAGCTCCAGGGCTCTGGTTCCATCAGCGTGGTTCCACGTGGCTTGTCAGCTGGAGACGAAGCAGAGAGAGAGTGGGTCTGGACTCCAGTGAGCAATTCATCTCCATTACACCTCCAAACAAGGTCATCAAGTTACAACCTGGTTGACAAGCTAGACTCCACCCCTTCCTCAAGTTGACAGAATATGCAACTGCTACAGTCTCCCACACGAAATGTGGCAATTCTACTGATCCTCCACTGCCCCCATATGGGCCGCCGTTCCTGGTGACCCCAGACACATCAGAGAAGGGCTATGTCCCACTGGTTCTTCAGGGACTGATTTTAAAATGTTTTAAATAGTTTTATTGACATATAATTCACATATCATGCACTTTAATAGCTCAGTTGTATTAACATGAGTTGTACAGGCATGGCCACAGTCAGTTCTAGAACGTTTTCTTCCTCCTTGTACTCATTGGCTCCCCCTTTATTTCCGACCTCCCATCTCATGACCCCAATAAGCCATTCATCCAGTTACTGTCTATAGACTTACCTTTCCTGGATTCATATGCTAGAAAATCTACAAAAAGAAATAGACCAACAATAACAAAATATACCACAGGAAACCCTCAATCGAAAAGAAAGCAGGAAATATTAAAAACTAGAACAAATTTAAAATGGGTCAAAAGGGAGCTCAAATGATCAGCTGTTAAATTTTAACCCAATTACACGTGCTGTAGTCGAGTTTACAAAGCTTGCTATCTGGTACCAAGACTATTCACATCCCTCCACTGTGGTCAGAGGGGATACATGGGCGGCGTCATCCGTGTGGGGACCCTGCACTTGGATTTGGGGCCCTCACAGTCATCCACGGCCTTCTGCGAATCTGGTGTCGCGACTGATTTTTCAGATGATCGCCAGGGCTTTCTTCCGAGAGGCAGATCACATCCAGAGGATGGATTCGAACCTGTGAGCATTTGGTCAGCCATTGAGCATGGCGATGTTTGCACAACCAAGCCCCCTCTGGTGGACAGAAATCACTGTTGTCATTTGGTTCAGACTCATAGCGACCACAAGTGACAGCGTGGGACTGGCCCATGGGACAGCCAAGACTGTCGTCTTACCTGGAGCCGATATTTTCTTTCGTGAGGCAGCTGGTGGGCTCGAACTGCTGACCTGTGGGCTTGCAGCCCAGCAATAATCACTGCGCGCCCTAGGTGTCTCAGTAAACAGCTGCCCAAAGCGATTCCCAAAGACAACTCCCTCTGTGTCAGAATTCTGCCGCGCGCCGGGCAGGTCCAAGGATGGGCTTTGTCACTGCTGGGGTCACTGGGCGAGTGGTGTGGTGGGGAGAGTGGGCCAGTCTCGCCTCTGTGGTCTGGCTCAGTGCCCGCCCTCCCCACGGGCGCCCTTCTCATCCACCCCTCACTGAACACCATCTCCCTCCCCGACTGGGGTGGGAGGCGGGTCTCCCACTCGCCCCCAGGTGGCCTCAAAGCAGCCCCGTGGACAAATAGTTAAACACACACACACACACACACACCCCGCCCCCCAGCAACTCGAGGCTGGTCTGCACAGCAACGAAGCTCAGCCAGGCGTCTAGAGAGACACGGGGACCAGATGGCTGAGCCGTCTGCGCGCCCGAACTCGCTGTAGGCGTCGCGAAGCCTCCACCTCTGGTCTCCCGTCCCCAGCCGCCTCTTTCCCATCCCCGCCCCCCACCCGGCCAAGCAGGACAGAGGTGGGGGGGGCCAGACCCCCCCAAGGAGTGGGCCTGCGGCGGGGACAGCGTCCGGATACCTGGGCTGGCGGCAGGCTGCTGAAGCGGATGCCGACGCTGCTGCTGCTGCGGATGCGGTCCAGGCGGGCGAGCCCGGTCGCTAGGCAACGCGGTGAGTGTGGGATGCGGCGCGGGCCGTGGGGGCGGGGCTGGAGCTGGAGCGGATGGCTGCAGACGCGCGGGCCGGGCAGTGGAGCAACGGCCGGGCAGGCAGGTCGGTGCGCCATCTGCAAGGTCGTTGGGAAGCAGGAAGACGGGCTTGAGGTCGCCCCGCGCGCCCTCCTCCCTAGGGGTGCGTGGGAGATGGTTGGGAAATAAAACTAGCCCGGTCCCACTCGTAGCACCCCGTGTCGCAGGGGCGAGCTGCTCCAGGACTTCCCCCTTCGGAACCGAAAGGTGCATTCACACTGCCCACTTTCACCTTCGGGGCCGAGGCAAACCACTGGCCCTGTCGTGAGGGCTGAGTGAGTGAATTCATACCGGTAACCTAGAGGCATGCCGTCAAGGAGATGGACGGGCCCAGTGGCTACAACAGCGGGCTCAACAGAACGGTCCCTGTGCGGTGGGCGCAGGACCGGACCGTGTTTGTTCTGTTGTGCACAAGGGTGACGTGGGACGGAACCGGCACGGTAGCACCTCACAGCGACAATGTTTAGCAGAGTCGCAGGTGAAAACCAAACCACACCTGTCGCTCTCATGCCGACTGCCAGGCCTTCCTCCCGCGGTGCCGCCGGGTGGAGGGTTCTCAGCGTCTCGCTCCTGCGTGATTCACACTGTCGGTCGGCCTTCCTCACCAGGGAGCAGATTCGCACTCACACCCCCACGCGCGTGCAGGATACACTGTGCCCCGTCAGGGTTTCAAGGCTGTGAACTGTTTCGAGCCAGTTGCCAGGTCTCCCTTCCACTTATTCCTGGCGCCACCAAGGACCCCTTCATGATCAATGCTGCTGTCATTGGGTGCCATGGGATCGGACCCCTGGGGTAGCGACCCCTGGGGCCCCATAGGATTTTCTTGTCTTTTTTAAAAAAATCATTTTATTGGAGGCTCTTACAACATCCCATACATCAATTTATATCGGGCATATTTGTACATAGGTTGCCATCAGCATTTCCA